TATGAGAGAAATTGTGTTATATACTGGACACTGATTCAAAGATATCCTGCCTTCTGGATAGCCTCTCCACCACTCTCCAGGCTACTGCCACCTAATTTGCAGTGTAACTGCTGCCGAAAGGCCATTCCATTGTTCTATCAGGCCCACCGTTTCAGGATGGTGGGAAACATGGTGAGGCCAGTGAAGTCTCTTAGCCAAATTAATATATAAAATTAACCATTACAGTTAGCCATTACATTACCATGGTACCACCTACCATGGTCTGGGCCCTCTCTCATTGGTCACTAACTGGGAAAATGACTTATCGATGGGTCTCATGGAGGCATTTCCTCAACTGAGGCTCCTTCCTCTCTGATGACTCTAGCTGTGTCAGGTTGATAAACGACATTTTCTTATGAAGCAAATAGCTATGAGTCATCTGTACTAAACAACAGATAACCTCTTATGTGGTGTTTATGAGTGTGGCATAAATGGATAGGTGTGTCTTGTGTACTTGCAAAGGCCAGACAGGGAAGGATGTTAGGCATCCTGTTCTATCACTCTTTGTTTCGATTATTAGAAACCAGGTCTCCCATTGAACGTGGAGCTAGGCTGGTGGGTAGCAAGCCCAAGGACCTTTCTATCTCTGTCCCCAACACCACTGGAGTTATAGGTGTGCATGCAGCCATAATCAGCTTTTTGCATGGGTTCTGGGGCCTCAAATTCAAGCCCTCATGCTTGCAAGGCAAGCCTTCATGCCCAATGAGTCACCTACTCAGCTGCACCCATCACTTTTATTTATGCAGTGGGTAAATCAAGAGAATCCCTGTTTAATCCCAGCACTTGGGAGGCAGAGGCAGGTGGATCTCTGTGCGTTCGAGGCCAGCCTGGTCTACAAGAGCCAGTTCCAGGACAGCCTCCAAAGCCACAGAGAAACCCTGTCTCGAAAAACCAAAAAAAAAAAAAAAAAAAAGAGAGAGAATCCCTGGTGTCCGTGATGGAAGAGCCTTATTTGAAGCTATGGTCTTTACATTTTACAAGGAGTGAACATACATTTAGCACAGTTTACTACGTTTCACCTCCCCCCAAACTGTTGTACTCCATTACTCACAGGTATTTCCTACAGAGATTTAAGTAAGCTGATAGCCTACGTTTCACCTGGTATTCAGGTGTGAGATGAAGATATTAACTGAGATAGTCGTGGTTAACCTACAATGTTGCCTACACCAGGGAAGGGTACAGAAGGAAAATGAACATAAATAAATGCATGCCAGAAAACATGCCTATGGCCTATCACAGAGCATACTACAACCACCCCACAAGGTTGGAACTGTCCCTGGTTCGGATAGGTAGCAAACTAAAGGTAGTTGTTGCACTGGCCACCGGGAGAGTGGGATGGGAGGGCTTGTACTGAAAGATTGCTGTTAGTCTCCGTAGCCTCCTAAGGACATTCTATGGGCCTTGGCTCTTGGAACTGGCATTCAGTCAGTTTTCTCAGCATCACCCATGCACATGCATGCTTGACCCTCCCATGTGTCAGCAAACCTAAATATTCTTTGGTTTCCCAACAAGTGAAGCACAACCTGAGTTATTATTTGTACTTTCATTCTCTGAAGTTGCCTTGGTAATTGTTACCCCTTTAACCTTAAATTCAATGTGTACATGTATAAGTTCAACTATGAACTACCTTGCCTTATTCTGAGGATAAAAACCAACATTTCTATTTCTTTTTGTTTCTTTTAAGGTAATGTCCTTATTGAGATATATTTTACATACCCCACTTTCTACCCATTTTTATGGTTTTGGGGGAAAATTCAGTTATGATCCCATTAATACTATCATTTAAGAAATTTGTCATCATCTCTGTATTAGTTACTTTTCTCACTGCTGTCACCAAATAGCTGTCAAAATCACTTAAGAAGGGGTTTACTTTGGCTCACAGCTCAAGGGTACAACCATCATGGTAGGGACACATGAGGAGGCTGGCCATACTGTGTTTACAGTCAGGAAGCAGAGGGGGTTGAAGGCTCCTGCTCAGCTCACTTTCTTCTTTGTGTTCAGTCCAAACCCAATCCATGGGCAGGTCTTCCCTCTTTGGTTAAACCTTTTTGGAAACTCCATCATAGATACATCCAAAGGAATGTTTCCATAGTGATTCTAGATCTAGACAAGCTGACTGTGACTATTAACCATCACAATCTCCAAAAAAAATCCTGTATCCTTTTATAGCTAGTCTTCTTATGGTTTTCTTTTAATTTGTCTTTAGTTTTATATGTATAGGTGTTTTGCCTGCATGTATATCCATGTGCTACATGTGTGCCATGCCTCCAGAGGCCAGAAGAGGGAGTTGAATTTCCTGGAATTGGAGTTTCAGTTTGTTGTGAGCTGCTTTTTGGGTGCTGAACTCAGGTCTTCTAGAAGAGCAACCAGTGCTCTTAACCTCTGAGCCACCTCTTCAGCCCCTCCTCTCTCTTTTTCCTCCATTCTCCCAGATCTCTGGAACTGATGTTTATTTTCTGTCACACGGAGCTTGCCTACTCTAGACATTTCATATAAATGAGATCATAACACAGGTGGTCTTCTGTGACTGGAGTCTTTCACACCACCAGGTTCCTCTATGTTGTAGCATGGATCAGTACTTTGTTTCTTTTTGTTGCCAAGTAATATTCCATTGTATGACTATACCTTAGTTTATATCTGTCACCAGATGATGACCATCACATCTCTCTGAATTTGGCTATAGTTAATACTGCTGCTGGAACCATTCTCAGGCAAATGTTGGCATAGACACCATCATTTCATTTTTCTTGAGTATGTAGCCAATTTCAGCGGGTTCCTGCAAGTTCTACTGCTGCCAGAGAAATGATCTATGTGAACTAAGAAGGAAAATTCAGTTCAGCCTGACTTAGCTCATTCTGGGTCAAAAACTTCTGGAGTTTGACAGCAGGTGGCTTTTTGTAAGCATATTTAAACACAGTACATGCTTCCTGGTGTAATACCATCCCTGTCCCACAAGGAGGTATAATTACATTGCAACTGAACTCAATACAAGTGACCACGAAGATGGGTTCAATAGCTTCTGGGTATGGGATCTAGTGTGTTCTCTGACTGAGACAGTGTAGAGATCAGCAGGATATAAAGTACATGTGGCACCTCCCCTAAGGATGGGTTCTATCAAAGCTAAAGCTGAAGGTCTAGGGAGGAGAATTTTGGATGAGCATGGCAGATTTGGATGATGTCTGGCTCGATGGGTAGCTGGGTCACTCCCAGCTTTCTGAGTGGAAAACAAGTATTTATATACTATGTTGAGGAGACAACCCTCCATGATTAGCGTTCCTACTTTCTCCAACGTTTATCTGTAAACCCTTGTGCCTATTACAGCCAATAGTGGAATTAATGAATTTTATGGCAATTCTGTGTTTAGCTTTGAACAATGGCCAGTGCATTTTCTTTTTCTGCCTTTAACAAACTTACTTAGTGTGTGTGCACACCACAGTGGATGTATGGAGATCAGAGGATAACCTAAGGAAATTAGTTCTTTCCTTTACCATGTGGGTTCCAAAAATTGCACTCAGGCCTTGGAAGCAAATATCTCTACCTGCTAGGCTGTCTTCCTTGCTCTTGTTTTACTTTTTGAGTCAATGTCTCTTACAGCCCAGGCTGGCCCTAAACTCACTATGTCGTAGGACTTGCCTTGAACTCCTCCATTCCTAAGTACTGGAATTTTAAACCTGTGCCCCCCCACCCAGCCTGAGCATTATTATCTGGATTCTTAATTCTGACCCATTGATCTACCTGTCCATATTCCCACCAGTACTCTGGTCTTTCCAGATGATCTCTATTTAGTCATTTCACTGCACAAACTCACGTTTCACCTAAAGTCATTTAATTTGTATGTTTTTTTTAATTCTAAAACTAACAAAACATACTCAGTGTCTCCATTTTGAATGAGGGAAGAAGATGACTACCACTTCAAACAAATGAAAACTCTTCTGGTTACTATTGAAGAAATTGGATGGTTTCAACCAGAGGAACAGTAATATTGAAATTATGACTGCTTCATGTGGATCCCAGATCTCCTGTGAGGGGGAAAACAGGGGGAAAGTGAGACAAGGGGGTAGAGCAGGAGGAGGAGGGGTCACAGACACAACATAACTAAACATGGTCAGTGAAAGGCTTTAAGGCTGTGGTGAGAATCCAGCTTACTCGTCTCTCTGCCTTTCCTACAGAATACTTCTTCCTGGGGATTGGTGTGCCCCATTTCACCAACAATCCCCACCACCCCCACCTCCAGCTATTCTCATATCTAAAGTCCTATAGTTGCCCCATATGAAAAACTTACGGTGATAAAAGCAATGCTTCCTCTTTTATCCAAAGAACATGATTAATCCTACACCTTTTGAAATAAGAATGCCAAAAGTCTCACTAGATGCAGCCTTGGACACCATCCTAAAGCATTTTTATCCAAAAAAAGAGTAGTCTCACAAGCAATGCTATGACCATCCAGAGAGTTCAGCAGACAGTCCTCTGCCTTCTAAAGAAAACCCTGCTTCCTTTTAGGAAGTGCCACCTCTGTGTTCTGACTCAATACTACACAGGAGATGTTTCTTTCCAAATACATTTTCAGTTTTCAAAACCATGTGTTATTTACAGAAAATATAATTCATGTGTTTTTGATTCATTTACACTTAACTCATTAAAAAATTCCTGCAAAACCACTTGGTATTCAAGGACTTTTCAGTTTTCTAAATAAGTTTCCAAGAGGATTCTTAAAGATATGAAATGGTGTTAAATAAATATGTACATGAGTTTCCAAATCATGTTCATAATTTTTCTTTAGAAGTCTGTGTCTTTAATTAGTAAGATGGGTATTTCTCTTAGCCAGAAAAAGATTAACGTGTGAAAATTAGCATTTGTCAATGCAAGAAAAACCTAAATTTATATATACAAGAAATCAAAAAGCATCATCAAAATTTTATTTATGTATGTGCTACAAAATAAATGCCAGACAAACATCACAATTTTAAAAATGATATTATTTTATTTTTATTTATGTGTATGTGTAGCTGACAGGCTGTGAGTCTGTGTATGAGAGTGTGGTGCCTGTGGAGGCCAGAAGAGATGGAGTTAGACCTACTTGACAGCCACAGGCCTGGATCCAGAATTGAATCCATGTCTTCGGAAGAACAAAAGATGCTCTAATGGCTGAGCTCTTCCACCAGCCCTAACAACACAATTTCTTTTAGGAAGAAAGGAATTCATTTACTGAGCACATCTTGGGGATCATGTTCTGGGCTTTGCTGTCCATATGTGTAGTATTCACTGTTAGGGGGTGGGTATTTTTCTTTTTAACCATGTTTTCATAGAAGATTGAGGCCCAGGCAAGCTTGATGAGTTTCTTGAAGCCACACAGCTTCCTCTTCTTTATAAAGTCAGAATTAAAATTCATTATGATTCTTAAGTCCGAGTTATTTCTGCCTCCTCATAAATCCCACTGGATTTGAAATTAAGAGACCTAGTTTAAAATTGTTTGTTACATAATACTAGTGGCACAGAGGTGAGTGAGCCTTCGCTCCCTTAAGACTATGACAGAGACAGCAGTGCTAGTATAACACCGCTGCTGGAAGGAACGAGAAGATGTGGACAAGGACTCCCCCAGACTCAGCTGAGCTCTTTGCAGCTTCCAGCTTGCTCCCACTTGAACAGACGCGATGCAGTGCAGTTTCATTCTTCGAAATTACACGTTTCACCCGCATGTCACCTTGCACATTTCCAGTGATTCTCCAAGACCTCAGAATACAACATTTAATATCAGTTTTGTTTTAATTTTATACATTCAGCTCCTTCTCAGGATAAAGTTCTAGCTTTAGTCAGATTAATTCACTTCCTTACTGACAAATCAACATGCTTTTAATTAAAGTAAAATGTGCATACTACCATTGTAACTATTTTTAGCTTACAATTCAGTGACATTGGCTAATAATACATTTACATCGCTGTGCGACCTTCATCCCACTTTCCCAAGCAGCATTTCACCACTACACATGTTGAAACGTTCTCACAACTTCTGCTTATGCTCCTGGTCTTGCCCTCGATTGATCTGACTATCGATTGATTTGACTCGGATTTCTGCATCAACGAACTCTTCCCACTCTTTTTTTTTTTTTAAACAATTTTTAAAAGGTGTATTATTTATGTATACAGTGTTCTGCCTACACATAACCCTGAAAGCCAGAAGAGGGCACCAGATCTCATTACAGATGATTGTGAGCTACCATGTGGGTGCTGGGAATTGAACTCAGGACGTCTGGAAGAGCAACCAGTGCTTCTAACTGTGGAGTCATCTCTCCAGTCCAAACTCTTCCCATTCTTGCATCACAAGTGGCAGTTTCTTAGAGGGCACATGTACAGACTCTGAGCTCAGGTTCTATATCAGTTATTTCCTGGTTATATCACCTTGTTCAAGTAAATCAAACTTGTGAAGACCTAGGTATTTCCTGCCCCCCCCACGCACGTGAATACTCAGTGGTTTTCTTTATAACCATTCCCAGACTGTAAGCAATCAAGATGTCTTCAATAGGCAAATAAGCAAACTGTGGTACAGCCACTCAGTGATGAAAACAAATGATGTTTAAGATATGAAACATCATGGAGGAAACTCAAATGCATACTACGTGTATTAGTTACTTTTCTGTTGCTATGACAAAATGCCATGACCAAAAGCAATTTAAGGATGAAAGGGTTTATTTTGGCTTACCATTACAGAAGGTAGGCCCATTATGGCCACAGGAACAGGATGCTGGCCCATCACATTTTCATTTGTACACAGGAAACAGAAAGCTGGAACAGGAAATTAAATGAAGCCTTAGGCTCTCAAAGCCTACCCTGAAGTGAAGCAGTCTTTTAGTAAGGCTAATCTAACTCCTAAACAATGGTTCTCAACCTTCCTAAAGCTTTGACCCTTTAACACAGTTCCTCATGTTGTGGTAACCCCCAACCATAAAATTATTTTCATTGCTACTTCATAACTAATTTTGATACTGTTATGAATTGTAATGTAATACTGTGTTTTCCAATGGTCTTTGGTGACCCCTGTGGAAAGGGATTGTGACCCACAGGTTGACAACCACTGTCCTAAAGCTTTCATAACTTCCTCAAACAATGCCATTAACTGGGGACTCATGTTCAAATACGCTATAGGGGACATTTCTCATCTACACTACAGATGCTTGAAAAGGCTACAATGCACATGATTCTAAGTATATCCCATTCTGAAAAAGGCAAGACTATTTAGACAATAAGATCAGTGGGTCCCAGAAGTTTAACTGGTAGGAGGGAGGGATGGGTAGACAGAGGAGAGGGGGTTGTAGTATAAACCACTCTTACTGACACTATAATGTTACATATAGGACCTTGTCAAACCCATAGACTTGAACAACACAGATTGAACCCTGATGGAAATTATAGGTGATTGTCACAAATGTAGTATATCCTGAAGTGAAATGTTACTAATAAGAGAATGTTACTAATAAGAGAATGTGAGGAAATATGAGAGAGTTATCTGTATTTTCTGTTCAACTTTTTAATGGATAAAGAAACAGCCAATTAGAAGGTGCATCATAAAAAATTATGCAGAACATAACACAGACACACACACACCTGAAAAAAAAAACCCACAGGAAATACAGAGGAGCCCAAGAAGTCTTATACTCATTTAATGAGAATGATAAAAGAAAAGGTAAGAGAAAATATCATAGAGGCAACACTATAAGGAAAATAGTTAAGAATATTCCAGAACAGATGAAGAACAATTTAGCCATTCATGACAATACTCAAATATTTATGGCCCAGGCTAGTGTGTGTGTGTGTGTATGTGTGTGTACATATATATTTAAACACTTTCTTTGTGTTTTAGTTATATATTTGTGTCTGTGTGTGGGTACCTTCAGAGGCCAGCGGAATGTGCTGGATCTCCTGCTGCTGGAGTTGCAGGTGTTACAGGTGAACTTCTGGATGAGGATGCCAGGAACAGAATTCAGATCCTCTGCATGGTTAGCCATGGGGATTAATTACTAAGCCATCTCTCAGGCCCCTGCTGTTATGTTTTAAAAATACTGATATCCTTGTGCTCTGAAAATAAACTTCATCTGTATGTTGCTATCTGCCATTAAAAATGTCACCTTTGGGCCGGACATACAGCACAGCACATACAGAGAACTCAGTATTAGCTTAAATAACTCTGATTATTAGCCAGGCGTTGGTGGCCCACGCCTTTAATCCCAGCACTTGGGAGGCAGAGGCAGGCGGATCTCTGTGAGTTCGAGGCCAGCCTGGTCTACAAGAGCTAGTTCCAGGACAGCCTCCAAAGCCACAGAGAAACCCTGTCTCGAAAAACCAAAAAACAAAACAAACAAACAAACAAACAAAAAAAAAAAACAAAAAAACTCTGATTACTAGTCTCAATCCTTGTCTCAAAATGGGTGTGGGGGGGGTACTTTCACACTAGATAAATTGTATCCATAGCTGTCATTGGTTTCAGTTCCAAAATAAGAAATTAACATCTTGATGCTTCATGGTTAGTTCTGGCATACAGATTTTAGTGGAAAAGTGTTATTTAATATTTTCTAGTCTAAATTATTGATGATATGGTTTATGGTATTGAGCCCAAGAACACTGGCAGCCCATTTGTAGTTTACAGTGGAACACAAATTGCTTTCTGAAGACAACCTCATCCTTACTCCTAGCATTGATCATCCTGAAAGGACTCCAATTACCAGGTGGAGTGATTTTCTATTCAGTTGGCCTTTTGCATGTTTTAGTATTCAGTAGAAAACGTCAGTGCTTCCTCTAGTTCTGCTGATTATTAAAACATAGACTGCTATATTCAATTACCAATAATGAGTCTTTATATTCTAGATTTTTCTTGGGGAGTGAATTTCAAAGTCACAGCTGTTTACTATTTTCTCAACACTCAGTTGAAACTAATACAGAGGAGAGCAGCCTGCAGGACTGCCGTCACCCATTTCTCTGGTACACTAAGATCTACCTCTATGTGAAGAAGTCACATGGAGACTCTTACCTAGAAAGACCCACATTCAAACAGCTGGGCTCCCCTAAGAAATAGACAACAGGCATATGTTTATGACTGAGTACCTGCATCTGCTTCAGGTGGTATTTCACTAGGGGTAAGCTTTAGTAAGGGTGTATGATGGGGGATGCTCTACGTAGCTGAGGAAGGAGTAACAGGTCTGTGTGGGAACAGACCTTGGCCGGAGACCCACTTCCCCATCAGCCTGGGAGTCGGCAGCTGTAAGACAATGTTTACTAAAAACAGGCTTACTAAAAACGTGTTTACTGAAAACAATCCGGTGTCCATAAGAAATGTTTACAGGAGCAATAAGTTCCTGAAAAGGGCTCGCCCATGGGAATGCCCTGACCTCAACCTTTCCAAAGACTAACCCCCTCTTCCTGACCCACCCACCGCAGTCTCTGGGGTCAGAGCAGAACCAGCCAGGGGTAAGGAAGGGAGTGGAAGCTTTTCTTGAGGGAAGCCTTTCTTGGGAAGTTTTCTTGAGCCTACTGGTCTCTGTGTCATCAATGACACCCTTGCCACATTCTCGGATACAGGCTGTGCAGCGGGCGCAGCAGGTACGGATATTCTCCGGTAAGATAAAATCATGTGGAAATACATAGATTAATAGAAATGTATTATTAACTAAGAGAGAGGTAGCCAATAAGAAGGCTGAGTCATTGGCCAGTTTCTAATTAATATAAGTTTTTGTGTGTTTATTTGGGTTTGAAGGGTGGCAGGACCAGACAGAACAGAAACTCTGTCTACACTTGTTGGCATAGCTTTAGTTCTGTTTTTTTTTTTTTTTGTTTTTGTTTTGGTTTTTTGTTTTGTTTTGTTTTGAGACAGGGTTTCTCTGTATTGCTTTGGAGGCTGACCTGGAACTCACAGAGATCCACCTGCCTCTTCCTCCCGAGTGCTGGGATTAAAGGCATGCACCACCAACGCCCGGCTAGTTCTGATTTTTAAAAGAGTTGCTTAATTTTTATTTTATGTGTTTGGATGTTTTGCCAGCATGCCTGTGAACCACACGTATGTAGTGCCTGTGGTGGCCAGAAGAGGGGGCTGAATCTTCTGGAGCTGGTATTATAGTTGGTTGTGAGACATCTTGTGTGGTGTTCTCTGGCCTCTGGCCTTGGATACACACACACACTTCCCCCAACTCTGCTATACATAAATAAATAAATTTTAAAAAGAACTATGAAATGTTTCATAAATTTGGTTTCAGACCTATACAAGGGCTAGGGTAGTCTTCCGGTTTCACTTCAATTTTAGTATATGTGCTGCTGTACAGAACACCAACCCTGGCTGTTCTGAGCCTTTCCTTTATCAAGAGGGTTATCTGTCTTTTGAGATGATGTAAGTAAGAGGTTAGCCACTGCGTACTATCAGTCTTCAGTTGCCCAGCCGGCTTTGCCTGCTCTATTATCACTGGGTGGCTATGCTGTGTTTATGTTGTGTGTGCGCACATGTGAATAGTACATCACCACTTTTATCATTTACCAGGATTAGTAATTGTTGCTATCATAAACAACTCTTAAATCTGAGTCTTACAAGCCAATAAAGGGTTATTTTTTGCTCTAGGCAGTCCAATGAGGATAAGGGTAATAAGAGACCTAATGTCTTTCCACAAAGTGCTGCTGCCATCGCCCTAGCATCCCAGGCTTTTTATTCTGGCTACATTGAGAAACAAACTGGAACTCGAAAGAAGTTTATGTTGGGCGATCCCCACATTTTTACTAGCTACACATAGTCACAAAGGCTGAGGTGGATCCAAGAGTGGTAGAGATAGCCAAAATTCATCATTTTCCTTGTTTTTCAGCTGCTGATGACAACTCAAAGTGGGCTTGTTGAAAGGAAAACCTTTTTCTTTATCCTCTTAGGTTCAGTTGTTGAGGGCACTGATCACTAGCCTGAAGTTTAGCAAGAGGAGATGCATACTTAAGTCACTGTCGGTAAAGGAGCCCAGAAAAAACTCTGACTCTAGGGGATCATTAGCATTTGGGTCTTAGATGGTCCTAAAGGGGAAGGAGAGAACAAACAGGACTTCTTAGAGTTGGGGCAATGAAAGGGCACTTACAGGAGATTAATGATGTGTAGGAAGGTCATGCTGGCCCTTTGGAGAACAGAGACAGTGTGGTGATATATTGTTTATGATTTATTAAAGCCACTGAAGATCACAGAAGCAAAGCAGCCAAGCTAGTAGATCTTACCTCTACCCAGCTGAAATGGCAATCCTGTCTCCACAATTCTCAGAGACTGAAGGCTCTGAATTCCTGTCTCCTCCTTTTATTCCTTTCTCTGCCCATCCACATTTTCCTAGTGCTGGGATTAAAGGAGTTTGATCCCAGCTGCTGAGATCACCTTTGTGTGAGCTGTTTTTTTTTGTTTTGTTTTGTTTTTTGTTTTTTAAAGACACTAACAGAGATCTGTCTACCTCTTAATCCTGAGTCCTGGGACTAACCGCCTGGCTTCTATAGCTAATTAGTGTGGCTTTGATAAATTATAAATAATATATCTCCTCAAGGCAGTATGAAGGTTTTGTCATGATGTCTGTCTCAGTATAGTGCCAATTCTCATGGTCTGATAACAGGAGCCATCCTTTTCTGTTGCTCTCTGGAAGGGACTCATAACAATTGGATTACTTGGGATTATTTTGAAAGGTTCCACTTTGGGAGAGATACAAGATTTCAGGAGCTCAAAAACATTCAATTAAATATAACTGTTATGCCACAGAAACTTCTATTGGAATTCTTCAGGAAGAATTTAA